TCACATGTCACACCTTTTTTTAAAAATTGTGGTAATAATTTTTTCTCAATTTATCGGAATTCTTCTGGATTTAATTGTATTAAAATTCCGGGATTGGTGCCGAATTGATCGAAATTGTACAGTAAGTATTTGAACTTCGTGTTTTTCCCCCTTTAGCATTCCCAGATTCATTCCCAAATGACTCCATACTCACTATTTACATCATCACCGAGTGTTCACATGGAAATTATTTTACCGAAAAAATTGCCTGTGGCATGCAGCAAGTTCAACCTTGAATCTCCAACAGTAGACCGTCCACTTGATCTCCTTCGAACCAGTTAGTGGATGTGTATGCGTACTTATCTTACTTGGAGGACAAAGCTAATACCTTGAACCTTGGCATAACCTAATGGTGACCAATGCAAAAATAACTACAACAATTGAGCACACCATGATCAACCAAATAAAGCCCCCTACCCAAATATCTCCCACGGCTGCTTGAAAATCTACGGCCCCCTTGAACATCGCTGCCCATCCACCTGTGTGATGCTGGAACGCACAGGTCTGGCACCAGCAGTTCTGGAATGTCCCAATATCTTCCAGGACACAAGGCAATTAGCCATGCCGCATTTGCAACTGCAAGGACCTTACCCATAAATCTCGATAAAATTGCCACCACGCTCAATATGTTTGTGTCTTGGGGAGAATGTCCAGTAGACTCAAGCCTTTGCATCACTGCATGAGAGGCCAAACTGGAGAGGACGAGCAAGAGCCAGGAGCCAGTTGCAGCGAGGCCATAGATCAGGTAGCTACCGGACCGACAGCCCATTCCAACGGATGGGGTGGAGTACACGATAAAGATGGCCGCCCCCATGGTTTCCCATTGGAGAAACATTGCAAAAGTCACGGTGTACAACATGTGTTGAATTGCAGCGGCAGGGACTTTTGTCCAACATGTGAAAGCCACGAGATCTGCATGTGATATGTCATTATCTGAATGTCTGGGGGCATTGAACATGTACCTTGTGCAAGGAAAGAGTAAGTGAAGCCACACCAGGTGTTTTTGAGATCCTTTGCAGCAATCTTCCAAAAATTCTATTGATCCGCCAACACAATGAGGCTGGCAAGTTCACTGGTCCGCTGATTGGCACGCATCGGACACTGCTGAGACTCTTGAAGGATGAACGAGGCATCTGCGACTCTATCAACCATATAGCAGTAACGCCGGAGCGTGTCCTGCTCCGCAATTTCTTTGAGTCGTTGGAATCTACCGGCAATTTATCCTTGGTTGAATGCTGTTAGCGCCAGGGAGTCGGTAGCTAGAATGGGGCTTTCGACACACAAACAAGCACTCAAAAGGTCCAGCCATCCGCTGTGGCAGTGGGCTCTGTCCCCTCCACGCTTGTTGGCCGTGTTTGGTAGCGCCTTCCGTAGCTTGGATCATCACTTGTGCTTAGCCAGAGCCTTATCGAGTGCTTTGCACGTGCCCCCAGGGATTCGGAGCGCTCCCAGCTAGTCTATTTTGGTGATCAGAGCGGGCTTCGTCCTCACGCCACCGATCAGCCAGATCGCGCCTCGATCGCCGCTCATCAGCATATTTGCCAACCTTACACTTCAACTCAGAGGCGACGCCACCGCATAGAATAACCCCAGAGGCGATGCCAACCCCAGAGGCGACGCCACTCCAGACAGAGACATAGATCGAGACAGATAGAGAGACTACTGACTCCCAGAGGACACCAGCATCTGTGTGCTGCGGTCATTGGCCCGTTTTCGGACTACCGTATTGGCTGGCGCCTTTGCTACTTGTTCTCTGGGGTCCCCTGCAATGATATGAGCAGTCGACAATCTGCTACGCACCAATTTTGCGCGAGCTTTGTCTTCATCATTTTTTCCATATCTGATCAACTCCGACCCTCCTCCGCATCCTCGATCTTCCTCTGCCATGTACTTCAAAGAAGGACCCCTACCCGTGTTGTCCAAACATGAGGATGATGCCCTTGACATGGTGATTTACGACCTCGAGATGGTTGCAGAAGAATATATTGTGGATGAGGTCCATCACGCCATCCGTCAAGTTTGGGAAGTAGCTTTGCGCATCGGGGTTAAGCATGGACAGCAACAAGCCCGACAGGCCCATGTTCACATGCCGAAGGAGCTTGAGCGAGAAAGAGTTTGGGGATTTGATGTTGGATGGAACTTTGCCATGGAGGAATCGGCGCTGAAGACGAGTAAAGAATCCGCTCCCGGCCCGTCCCTCCCATGTCTCGCCTCTTTCTCGACAACTGCGACGCAGATAGATCCCCCTTCATTCCCCAAGATGACTACCCTCCCTCCAACAGTTTCAATGCAGACCGAGGTGCTGATCCCTACACCATCCTCCCATCTTAGGCTGTCACCTGCTGCTCCTTTGCTTCCGAGCCCCACCGTGAATGACGCCAATACCGACGTACACGAGGCGCCTAAAACTCCATCCCATGACTTGCGTCCACTATTGCCATCCTCGTCCGTGATTTCTCTGACTTGCGCATGGGAACACCCGTTTGCGAGCTTACAGCAGCGTCACAGACGTGCACCCCACATGTTCGGTCCACATTCGTCGCCACCACGTTCCTCACGCACTCCTAAAACGATTATCTTGAATATTTATGATTCAAATCCCAAAACATTGCGCGTACAATATACCACTTGCAGTCCCGTCACTCCCACATCCAATCCCCATCCATCGACATCTACCTTCGACCAAAATCTGTGTCTGGATTGGGGTCTTGATCCATGACTTCGCGACCTCAGTCGGGCGCTCACTGCATTGGGATGGGTGCGGCCTGGGTGAGATTTGGAGGATGTTTTCTTGGCTTTTTGGACTTTATTGTGTTCATTGGACATCCGGCAGCGGGGACGCTGCCTTGTGTGTTGTGGGCGCATGTGGCAGTGGGCTCCGCCCCCTCCACGCTCGTTGGCCGTGTTGGGTAGCGCCTTCCGTAGCTTAGATCATCACTTATGCTTAGCCAGAACCTTATCGAGTGCTTTGCACGTGCCCCAACGATTCAGAGCGCTCCCGGCTAGTCCACCACCCGCCTCGAACGGTAGTTGGGTGATCAAGGCGATCCACGGGAGCAACCAATTCATAATTGAAATTGCCGAGTACAGATCTCCGCTCTTACGCGGATCCAGGTCGTCAAATTCCATTCCAAGACGTGAATGACACTGCTCACCTCTACGAGTCCGTCACATTCCGCCTTGCAAGCGCCGAAACTTATGCCCCAGATTTCCGGGTTCGCTTGGATAGTGCTATTGGCGGGGCATGAAATTGGTTGCCCAAATATGTCGACGAGGCCATCGGAGCTGCAATTAAAGCGGACGGCGCATGCGCCCTGCCAATCAGGTACATATGTGCTGCTCAGAGACGCCCCCATGGATAGACTTATGAGCAGAGAGGACACTTGGGTGCGGAGCTGTGAAACAGGGAATTTAGAGCGAGCGGGATTCTGAGACCGTATTTATACCGGGATGACTATTATAAGATGTGATGAGGGCAGTTACCCCAGGCATGTAGCAGTTACCCACTTGAGGGGGTCCTGTCGACCCGGGTGCCGCAACAAATGTTCACACAATTGCCGCCAATGCCGGTGACAAACACACTAGCTTGGTGTACTAAAACAGACGGTGGCGGACAAACGGGTACCTGGCGCCGTCATTCGGGCGCATACGTCGAATTTATGTCGAATTGGACGCAACTTTAAGGAGATCACAAAGCGCGTCAAGGTATACACAGCTTTGGTCCACCCATGCTCGAAAAGTTGGAAGTGGCTGGTCCCAGAATTCCGGTGTAAAATTCGTGGACAAAATAATCCAAGTGATTAGCAGAGGAGGAGGCACCACGATAATGAAATTTCTGAAGGTTACGCGGCCGAAGAGGGGAGGCAAAACCAAACCGATGGGGGAATCCCTCCCATTTCCTCATCTGCGTGCGCGGAAGTGGTGATCATGACCCGACATGGCGAGAATCGCTTTTTGATTTCAACCGTGGGAATTTGCGTGTTGATGAAAACCAAAGTTTCTCCGATATCAAAAACGGTCGCGAGACTTCATCGGTTTACGTTGAAATGCGTTCTCGGATGCGTATTGTGGTTAGTGCCTCCAAATAGCTGAGATTCAGGCGTGAGAATGTAAAATTGTCTTGCGCCCTAAGTCTGGGTTGAAGATCATGCGAGGTTTGAAATTATTCTTCATGAGGTTGTTGGTAGCTACTTTGCAACCAAGCAAAACGAAGAACGACCTGAGCCGGATAAACGGGAGGAGAAGAATTGGTTGAATACAGTCCGTGGTTCATACATAATCTAGGAAATAAATGAATGAATCTACGCTCCAGTGCAAAGCGCCGTCGGCGCCAACAATGTCGACGCAAGCCACGCAGCCGGGTATGTGCGCCGTGCGACTGTAGTCACACCTTGCGCAGTTTTCTGCCCATCGAACCAACCATGCGGAACACTAACTGTCGGCATCACCGCTGCCGCGCTCCCCGTCCCACTCGACGGCGTCGGTGTAATATATGTCAACGTCGCAACGGCCCCCTCCGCGGTGTGCGTCGGGAGCAGGGGCATTCCCGGGTCAATGTTGCAGATTGTTCCAGGTGGCCCTGTTCCAAACTCACTTATCGCAGCTAGGTTTCTCGTCCCCGCGCTGACGGCCCGTCTGCCACGCGCTGAACGTGCCATCAAATTGTGTACCCTCATCGCCCATGGCCTCGTATTTGCCCTGCGCATTCCGCAGGTCGGTGGGGAGCAGCCGCTCGGGATGGACGATTCCCATCATGCCTTTGCCGGAACGGTTGAAACCTGCGATGAAATTTATAAGTTAGCAAACCCCGAAGAATACGGACACAACAGGAAATCTGAGTCCATACCATTTGTGATGCAATGCTACCAGCATAGCTGTGAATGCATAGACGTCAGGTAAGCACTATTGACGATGGCGCAAGCGAAATAATGCCTCCCCGTCGTAGGGGAGTGCAGATACATGGCCGTCTAGCTCAGTTGGTTAGAGCGTCGTGCTAATAACGCCAAGGTCTTGGGCAGTCGCAAACGAGGCTGGTTGTCGAGACGGTCGCGCGTTGCACTTGAGGGGGATCGAGCTCCCCGAGCGTCGACGAACGGGACGTTGGGGATGGGCGCCCGGTTTGCGAGCACTGGTGCGACGTCGGCGGCGTCGTCGTAGCGGCCGTGCGGGGTGTGCGGGTGTCCGCCGCTCGCGCTGGCGGTTTGCGAGGAGTTATGCGACGCGGGCGAGATTGTCGTCGTAGCAGCCGTGCTCGCGTGCGTATGACCGCCGCGTTCGCGAATGCTTGTGGTGTCGCAGGGCGGTGTTCGCCCACTGCTGTTTGTATTGGGCCGTGAAGAGTTTCGAGCGGCACCGGCAGCGAGCATGGCAACGAGGCGGGTTGCGGAGATACGACGCGAGCTGAGCTGCCGCCCAACATACCTGCGGCTTGGCACGCAACGTACGTCCAGGTTGTAGTGCGCGTCGAGGCGGCGCGGTCCTGTATGCGGCGACAATTGAGGGAGTGTACCGCCGATGTAGTGCGGTGCGCAGAAGCGGTGCTATGCGGCGCGGCGCTGGTTACTGAGTGGGCACCAAGAGGACACGAGGACGCCCGAGGTTTGGTAGTGGCGAGGGCGTCTGGATGGGAGTGGGAGGTGGCGTGAGGGAAAGCCGCGTTGTGATCCGGTGGCGTGGAAGGATTTGTAACACGATGGCGGGATTGTGACGTGGGCGGGATTGTGACACGACAAGCGGGCCAGAGAGGAGCGTGTCGATGCCGACGAGAGGGGTGGGGTGTCGATTGTCCTGAGTGATGGGCGGTGAGTGACGCCGCCAGTGATGGCCGCGTACGCTCAGGAAAGGGGCGGGTTCTTTTTCCGGTGTTGCTACCCTCCTCCCGCCCCGTACTACTATAGGGCTCCGCTGGTATTGAGAATTCACGCACCGCTTGGCGGGAATTTGTTGCGCATCCCGCCCTGCACCCGCTCCGCGGAAATTTGTTCGGACCAAATTCACGCGCCGCTTCGCGGGAATTTGTTGCGCACCCCGCCCTGCACCCGCTGCGCGGAAATTTGCTGGGCCCTCAAATCACGCGCCGCTTCGCGGAAATTTGCTCCCTAACGTACATTACCCCAGGAACAAGGTCTTGGATTCGACCCCCACGATGGCCATCACCAGGAATCCTCAGGGATTGTTTTTGGCCCCAACACGTACATACTGGGGCATTCTTTTCGCCACAATTACCCCTTGTTCCAAGTTGCCCGTCATCATTCATAAATCCAGAAAGTACTTCAATCAACACTTCCACTTTCCAACTCTTCATAAGTTCATCTCGTTGAATGAGAACAAAATTCCAAGGGTATGCGGCATGCGCTCCTGACGGGCCAGGATAGTTCTGCCTCCCAAGATTTGACATAATGCAGTTGAATATGAGACAGGTAAGTAATACTTTTGGAAATGGCGATTTTGCGTGAGGGTTCAGAGGTAATAAAGTAAAACTATCGCAAAATATTGCCGCGGAATTCGAAGAGAAGGTGGAGGCACGTATAATTTGGAATGCAATCTTATGACTCAGAACATCGCATTAGAAGGTAAACAATGGACGCGCGCACCGGCGGCGACCAAGATAGAAAGATGAATGTTCCAAGAGACTTGCCAAAACGTGGGTCCTGCGGAAGAAATCGCTTTAATGGAAACCTGGGCAAACACCGTTCATTTTCGGTTATGGCCTTTCTGTCTAAAAGTCCCCGCTGGCCCCCCATTGTGATTTTGTCGTACTTGACTGTTTGTCTTGCGCATTGCCTAACCGTCATTCTCTCTCCAAGGTCACCGCTTGCGGCTTTAACACCGCTTCCTCTGACGATCCATTCCCTCATTGACCTATCTACACTTCCCTCGCAACAGCCGGGTTGCCAACGTGTCCAAAAGCTGTTTGCGCTGGAACTGTGTCATCCTTATTCCGCGTCGGTGCACCGCCGGCGCGCAGCCTTCGGTGAAATTTTGCACCGCCAGTTGGGCGCTATTTTGTGCAAATATACGTCGGCCAGCGCCGAGCCATTCCTCTCTCAGACATGGTAGAGCCTGTTCGGATTTTAAAATCCATAATCCGGATTATGGATTATGTTTCCTTCTAAATTCCCGGCCCTGCGCCTCATCAGGTTCCAGGGCTGCCCAGAGGACGAAATACAGTACGGTGGCTCAAAGTCACAATTTGTGATTTTGAGTCACCGTGATTCACAACCTCGTGGTGGTAGGTACGCGCGGCGGCATCAGGAAAACTGCAAGTTACTAGGAGTTACTATGGGCACTATGGAGCACTCGCCTAGCTCGCCTAGCACTCGCCTAGTGCTCCATAGTGCCCCTAGTAACTTGCAGTTTTCCTGATGCGGCGAGTGCTCACAAATACCGCAACGCGATGATACGCAACCTGCGAGTAATATGGAATGCCCGGAATATACTAGGCACCGTGTTCTCAGCACGGGCTTTGTACGCCGTGGGGTACGTGACACTCTAGAAAGGTGGGGAGTGGGGATAATCTCCAACCGCTACCGGGAGGCGTGTGAAAATAACAACCATTCCGCGGAGTCCGTTTCTCATGCCATTTTTACTGCCTTTAAATCGGCTGTTCCCGCTCTTTCTTTCGCAATCGGTACGTCTTTCCTATTATCACCAGTTCTGCAAAACCCTGAAAATCAGCGCTAGCGTCAATCTTGGGTCCAAACATGCGATTTCTTTCATTGGTACTGGCCGTTACAATGAGCACAGCTCAGTACACCGCAGATACCTCTCTACAAGTCACCACCGGAAGCGGTACCCTCCACGGCTTCGTCAGCCCTTCTTACCCCGCCGTTCGTCAGTTTTTGGGTGTACCATTCGCGCTTCCGCCTACTGGAGCCCGCAGATGGCTGCCTCCCCAACCCATAACAAACGCAACAGGAGCGATTGACGCAAGGAGCTTTGGCCCATCTTGCCCTCAGATCCCTCATACCACACTGGGCTCGGTGGACGTTTTCTCGCCATTAGGCGGCAACCAGACCCAGTTCTTCCCAGTTGATAATTTCAGCGAAGACTGTCTCACGCTGAACGTGTGGACCCCGGTTCTCGAACCGGAATCGAACCTTCCAGTGATCATCTGGTTCTTTGGAGGCGGATTTGTCCAAGGCGGTGCAGACTCGCTGTACTACAACCCCACCCCGTGGGTGCAGCGCACGCAGGCCCACATCGTCGTCAGCGTCAACTTCCGGAGCAACATATTTGGATTCCCAAATGCTGCCGGACTTGCCGAGCAAAACCTTGGCCTACTAGATCAGCGCCTCTCCTTGGAATGGGTGCAGAAAAATATCGGCCCTTTCTTCGGAGATACATCGCGGATGGTAGTTTGGGGCCAGTCGGCGGGAGCTATCGCCATTGACTGGCTGAGTTTTGCATTCCCGCAAGATCCAATTGTGCAAGGGTTAATCATGGATAGCGGCACGGCATTGTTTCCGCAGGCTGGCACCATGACAAACGACACCGCGCAAGTGAATTTCGCGGAGGTGGGGGCTCAGCTAGGGTGCAGCCCTGGCGCCTCACAACTCGACTGCATGCGCGGTCTGGCCACGCAAGATATCGAGAATTTACTCGCCGCGAACGCATCCATTCCCGCCTTTTTCCCCGTCCCAGATGAACACGTAGTGTTTTCGGACTACACATCACGTTACGCCATGCCAAATGCTGTCGCGCGCATCCCGGCGGTCGTTGGGACTACGCAGCACGAGTTCAATGCCCTCGTGGCAGATACCCCCGGGCCCGGCCTCCCTTTCAACCAAACGCTACTCGATGCTCGTTCGAACAAAACTTTTCTGTGCACTGCTGCGCAAACATCGCAGCTCCGTCAAACGCTCGGCCTGACAACCTATCGTTTCCGCTACGACGGCAACTTTTCGAACATTTCACCCCCAGAATTCAGTGGTGCATACCACACATCGGAACTGCCACTGATCTTTGGTACTGCGGGCGAGTTTCATGGGAAGTCAACGCCATATGAAGACTCGGTGAGCGTTAGGATGCAGTCTTTGTGGTTGACATTCGCGGCGAATCCGGAGACGGGTCTGGGGCTTGCTGGATGGAGTTCGTATAATGACGGCAAGGCAGTACTGCTTGGGGACTCAGATGAGGCAGTAAAGTTGATTGCTGCCGAACAGTTGGACGGGATTTGTCAAATTTAGTCTGTTTATTCAGTTCCTTTTACCTATCGGATACGAAACCTGCGCACGCGAGCAAGCATCCGTTCATAGTGCTTGTATGATTATACAAACAACAAGCTCCGAAGAGCCACGCAAGAAGATCGCAAGTACTCCGAAGAGCACAGGGGTAACCAAAAACGACGCACCTTCAGGCTTCGGTAGGCCCTGTACACAGGCGCGGAGACACATACATTAGCCACCACAGAAAGACGAAAGCAGAATCGGAAAAATCGTAGGAACGGAAGAAAATAAACAGCAGCTCGGAAACCTACAATCAACTCCAACATCGTCGGCGCCGCATCGCACAACGCGCCCTCCTCCTCCTCCTCGCCCTCCTCGCTGCCCACCGTCTTCTCTTTCCCGTCCTTCTCATCATCCTTCAGCGTATACTCACCCTCCTTCCCGCCGACGAGGATAAACGGTACCGCTCCGCACGTGCGCCCCGTCTCCGGATTCCTGTGGTCCGCCGTGATGAGGATGTATCCCGCGTCGTGGCAGGCGGCTGCGATGGTCCCGACGGCCTGGTCCGTTGCGGAGATGGCTTTGACGGCCACACAGATCCAAATCCAGAAGGTCGAACCAAGTAAAAAGTAAAGAAAGAAAATAGCGCAACATGATCGCTATCCAAACAACACAAACACCCGACCTACTCGCCATATCCAGAGGTGCAAATCACACAACGGTCATTCCGGACTGCAAATCGTACGTGGCGACCTGGTGTTGTTTCGTTAGCGCCACGATACGAGTGTGTAGAAGGGAGCATGAACGACGATAAAATCGGGAAGAGTTCGAAACACCCACCTTTGGTGAATCCACCATACACCGCTCCTC